CTGTTAAGTTTACAAATTATTATATATTTAAAGAGAAAAGTAAAAATCATGACTTTCTAATACTTTTGTAATATCCCAAATTTTCGGGAATATTTAAGTGTAAGTTAAGGACTTGATTGTGGAAAAATATTGTTTTGGGCTTAAGAACCAAAATATCCAAAGTTGAGGGGCTTAAAAGAGGAGAATTTGGATAAGGATGGCTTATTTCTTTTCTCCCTTTTCCTCTTTCTTCTCCAGCCTGTTTCTGCTCTTGTCTTCCCGCTGCAGCCCGAAAAAAAAAAAGAAGAAAGGGAACCCAGCCATGCCTTGGGAAACCGGTAGAAAGCTTGGTTTTTGGCCTTCTTTTCTTGCTCTAGAACCTGATTGGAACCCAGAAATTCTCCCCCCTGCAGAAAGCTTTCGGATCTGCCTTGCTCTGCTCCTCACCGTCCGGCTGCTCCTGCTTTTTGGGTGTGATTTGTTCGGTTTTTTGGTAAGAAATAGCCATGAATCTCCCTTCTTCAGCTTTAATTGCCTTGGGTTTATGTTAATTGCTCTTGGTTCCTTCAATTTTTGGGTAGAACCCGTGAGTTTCTTCCCTGCACTGCCGCCGGCTTCTTCCCCCTGCTAGGTCCGCTTCTTGCTGGAAAATTCTGGTATGTGACAGCCTTTTAAGGCTTAAATTATCCATTTTGTTTGCTGCCTTGTGTGTCCGTGAATTGCTAGAAAATTGGGGATAATTCTGGTAGCTTTAGGACCATGATTAAGCACTAATTCAAGTGGGATTTATGTGATTGAGTGTTAATTGCTTGTTGTGATTTTTGGAGAGAAAATCCCGTGAATTAGCTAGTGGTTGGCCATTGTTTGGAAGTTGGAGTTACTGTTCACGTCGTGGTTACTGTTCACCGACACTGTTTACCGACACTGTTTACACCCCGAGGGCCAACAATTAACGGGGATTTAAATGATTAGTTGGTGATATAAGAACGAATTTGGAGATATTTGATTTTGTGGAGATTGATAGGAAATAGCATTGTGATTAGGACTGATCCTAATCATGATTTCATCTTGAATGTGTGATAGTCCGGTATTGATTCTCGGATGTTTTGATTAGGTTTCCGATCGTTCTGTCAGTTAGTGCGTGAATTGAATGCTCGGTTTATGCGAGTGAGGTAAGTAAATTTATGGTAATGCCCGTAC